GGATGAGGTAGGGGTGTACACGCAATAGGAAGGGGAGGGACTAGGGGTACACATGTGAAAGGTGGGTGGATCCTAGATTCAAGATGGCAGTCTAATCTTGATCCTCCTTGAGCCGGCTTGAGTTTGTCTCCGGGCTCAATCACTACCCTTATCAGTAGAGCATGAGCCCCACCTGTGGCGGGCAGACAATAGCGTCTGATGGCTCTAGATGACTGATGCCCTCCGGAAGAAAACTTCTAAACAGCTGACTTCACAAAGTGCCAGCCAGCAGGTGCAACCTGGGGGAAAACCTGTCTGCATCCTTCTTCTCGTTGCTATCAGCAAGGCCATATTTTCCAACATTCCTCTTTGCTCCCAACTGTTTGCAATCCCATCACCAGTAATTATCATTGCATCTTGATTACATGTTTGATTAATTTCAAACTGAAGACATTGGTAAAACTCTTCAATTGATGCATCACCAACTTTAGTGGCTGGTGCATAAATTCGAATAATCCCTGTACCGACTGGCTTTCCTTGTCTAGGGATCACTATTAGCCTATCACAGACAGCATTGTCCTTCAAGGCAGAGCTTGACATGCCCTTTTGTCTGTGAATGCGACAGCATTCCTCTTGATTGTATCATTCCTGGCATAGTAAGCCACATGATTTTCTGATGGAAAAGAAGGCCAATATCAGTCCATCTCTGCGCACTATTGCCTAAATAGTGATCTTTATGTGTTCTGTTTAATTTTTGATGACTTCCACTTTGTCTAGATTCATACTTCGTACATGCCAAGTCCCAATTGCTAGTAGATGTTTGCAGCCATGTCCTCTCATTTGGGGTCGGGTCCCATCAACAAAGGCCTAACGCCTGTGGGCTCTGCTCCCTGCACGGCACTCTGGTTGACTCGACTTGGAGACGGCGGCTCTTCCTCAGGCCTCCTTTGAGCGCCTTCCGAACTGAGGGCTCCCCTCTGGCACGGCCTCTGTGATGCCCTGCTGCTAGTCAGCAGGATTTCCGGGTCTGACAAAGTCCACTGCTCGCCACTGGGCTTTCAGTGGTGAGTGCCCCTGAAGTGACAGCCCCTCCTTCTTTGTCCTCTGAACTTTGTCTCGGCTTCCTGCTGAAACCTGTTCACTTCGAGTGATCCAGCTGCATGTGAAATACCAGGGGCATAACTTCCAGCACCTCAGCATCACAAGCAGCCTCGGCAGGATTGCTGTGACCTGGAAATGCGCAAACTCGGCACCTCCGGGTACCTAGTTTCAGAGAGCAGGTGCACATAGGCACGCGGAGGCCGGTCAGAGCCCTGCGCTGGTGAAGAGCATGTGTCCATCAGCAGAGGAATGGCCGGGTGAAGGGAGAAGAGTCACATGACGGCATACTGCCCAGCCATTGCAGAACCACAGACTAGACTTACGTGTATTCAATAGGGTAGCTTTCAACAACATGACATCGATTGAGACAAAGCAGTTCCAGGAATGGAATGCAAAGTATTAAACACTACCTCCCCTTTCCCTCCCTCCACCCCACACACAGGAAAAGCAAGGTCCCCTCCAGGTAAGTGCATACAAAAAGTTCTGGGGTCCATCACGCCTACCCGACGACACTGTAACCTTTGGGTAGAGAACTGAGATCGAAAGTCAATGGACCTTATCTGTAACTGGTCTTTAGATATATATTTAAGTTTTAAGAAAACAAAAACCTAGCTCCACACACAGGGTTTGCCTCGTGGCCTGGGGACAGTGGGAAGAGGAAAGTCTTGGTCCCTGGGACAGAAATGCAAACACTCAGCCAGGGGCTAGGGTCCAGCCAGAAAGTCTCCTGCCTAGACCACCCCAGCTTTGGCAGCCATGACCAGGCCCCACCAGAGCAGCCCGGGCAGTTTCCAAGCCAAGTAGCCCTCAAGTCTGACCCTTGACTGGGAGCCCAGAGGCTGGAGTCTGAGCCTAGCTGACCACCAACACTGTCCGTCTTCCTCTCTAGCCTCGCTGTCGCTTCTGTCTCCAGAGGGACCTGGGCTCTGGCCCTCCTTCTGCTGGTGGGAATGTGCCTTGAGGAATGGGCTGGCTGGGGCCTGGACCCCAAGCTGGACAGCTCAGAAGCTGCCTGTTGCAACTGAGGCCTGCTGAGGGTTTAAATAGCTGGGCAGGCGGAGTCGGAGAGCTCCAGGAGAAGTGAGGAGTCAGTAGTCTGCCATGGCTTCACGGCGCCTGTTGGCTCAATTCTTCCCATGAGGCCCTAGCTGGCCATTCAGCTGTTTACGAACAGCGTTCTGAGCGACTCCTTCTCGGGGCTGACCAGCCCCATTCTTTCAGCCTTTTCTCATGACACCTGGTCTCCAGACCTAGCCAGGTCCTGGTGTCCAGCGTCCGTCTGTCAGACAGAGATAGACTCCATGTGTGGTCTCAGCAGGTGCCAGAAGTGCTGGCCTGAGGCCTCCTCTCCGTGGACCTCCCTCCTCCTCACTGAATGTGGCCCAGGCCGGAGGATCAGGTCCAGAAATAGCATCAGACCAAGGAAGCCAAGTGCATTTGAAATGTATCCCCCATCCACGACCAAGGCCTTTCTTCACTGGGCCAAGTCCCTCTCTCCTTTCCCACAGCTTGTTTTGGTTCCCCAGTGCCCAGGACAGAATCGGAAGCTTACCCCTTTCCAATTCTACCTTGTTGGTGTGTCCATGTTTTCAGCCTGCAAATAATGATCCATTGTATCCACTCCCACCGGGTCAGTTCTGACTCCGGGACCCGTGTCTTGCAGATAAGAACTTTGCTGCAGAGAGAGGTCTTACAAGGCTGTGGTCTTTTGGAAACAGTTCACCAGGGCTTTTTTCTTCCTAGTTGTCTCTGCGTGGATTCAAACCAGCAATCTTACATCAAGTAGTGGAGTGCTTAACTATTTGTCACACCCAGACACTCCTATAAAAATAATAAGCGCTATTATTTATCGAGAGCTTGTTCCTTGCCAGAAATGCTGCGTGTGGCTGCTCCTATCATCCTTGTAACACTCTCAGAGCACGGTGTTCAGGAAGTCGTGTCTTACAGGTAGGGAAGTGGAGACACAGAGAAGTCAAGTGACCTGTCCAGGACCGCTCAGCTTGGCACGGAGTCTGCATTTGCTCCCGCACGGAGGGTCCACGCTCTCACCCTGGTGGCCAGCCTTTCATTGTCCCTCCACTCTGGGACAGCTTCCCAAGCCCTGCTGGCACACTGGCAGTAGGTCAGCAGGAGAAGAGATCTGGTGACCTGGTCCCATACAGATGGCCACCTACAGGGCAGTCCTACTCTGGCTGGCAGGGTCACGATGAGTTGGAATCAATTCAGGGGCATTCAGTAACAAGCTTCTTCCAAAACAATGATGGTCGTGAGGAAACGTCTGAACTGTCCCAGCGCTGATGAGATTTGGGTGTAACCACCCAGGAAGGGAGCCCTGGTGGTGTAGTGGTTACAGATTCAACTGCTCACTGCAAGGACAGCGGTTTGAAACCACCAGGTACTCTGTGGGAGAAAGAAGAGGCTTTCTACTCCTGTAAAGAGTTACAGTCTTGGAAACTCATAGGGCAGTTCTACCCTGTCCTGTAGGGTCACTCTGAGCCCTCGCCAACTCAGTGGCAGCGAGCAGACTGTGATAGGTAGGCTTATTGTGCCATCCTGGCCAATAGGAACATATGGGATGAATAAGGTCCCAGTTTGATTGGAGGGCAAAGAGATAAATGGCTTGGCAAGCCCTGACTCTCTCTCTCTCTCTCTCTCTCTCTCACTCTCTGGTGATCGGACCAGCATGCGGCTGCTAGTTCCCTGCCTCAACTCATGAGCTACACTACCTGTGGGACTGCCAACCATGGATTGTGTCACTAGAGCTTGAGGTTTCTTCAAGACCTGCTTCGCCATGCTGCTGGTGTGTACATCGCTTGAGCTTGGGACTGTCGGATCTTGTCGTCTTTCCGACTGTTGGTGACATTTCACTACATTTCACTACAGAAGATTCAGCGGTCTGCTTCCTTGACCTTGGACCCGGTGAAGGACTTCCAGTATATTAACTGTTCTATGGAAGTGAGTTGAACTGAGCCCTCTGTCCTGTGGTGTGGACTAATTAGCTATTATATTCCTTTGTGATATATGTATAATCATAAGTGCCCTGGTTTGTTTCTCTAGAGAACTCTGCCTAACACTGAGGCCTAAAAAGAACGCACATCAGAGCGGTGGCCCACGGCAGGTCTGGGGCAGTCTGACACACTCGGCTCCGTCCCAGCTCGGCTCCTGCAGAGCTTGCCTTAGGGATCTAGGCAGGTTGGCCTTGCTGAGCCTCAATCTCTTCAGCTGCAGAAGGGGAGGAAGACGCAGCATCTGCCTCGCTCCACCCCACTACTTCACCGAGCCCGATGCCCTTCTCCACGGACTGGGGTCTCCTGACCACACGTGCAGGGTATATGGGATGAGGTCTTGCCGGCTTTGCCTCCGAGGAGCATTCCGGCTGCGCGCCTTCCAAGGCAGGTTTGTCCTGTGAGCAGTCCGCGGTCCTTCCAGTCGTCTTCCCCGGCTCCACCACTCGGATCATCCGCTCTTCTTCAGGCTGCCTGCTCCATGTGCAGCCTCCCATGCCTGTGAGGCTGCTGAAAATACCAGGGCTTGGGCCAGGCGGGGTGTAACAAGAGGAAGCCCTTCAAGCGGATGCCTGGAAGACACGGGACTGCACGGATGGACTCAAGTGTAAGACAGCTGTGAGCATGGCGCAGGACCTGCCCTGCTTTGTTCTGTTTTCCACCGGCTGCCGTGTCAGGACGACTCTACAGTACCTAACCGCAACGAGGACCCTACCCGGATGGGGCAAGGGTCCAGCAAGACGTGTGACCCATAGGTCCAGGCTGACCACCTACTACCTGCTGGGGCGCTGTGTCTAGCCAGAGCCCAGCTTGCGCTTAGCTAGTGTCTAGGACGCAGCCTGTCTTGCAGAGAGGGTGCAGTGGGCACGGCTACTGCTGTGGCTGGGCTGGCTGTGGGCAGGAGCAGCGCCTTACTTGTTGAAATTCCGGTACTCCTCGGGGCTGGACGTGTGGCTTCGGCCTTCCCCCTGGTAATCCCCGTAGCTGATGAGCTCCTGCCACGGGCAGCGGTAGCCCTTTGGGATGGCCGTGTGGTTGAACTTCTCTGGCGGGATGGCCTTCAGGGGCTCCTTGTAGCCTGTGGGTGGGGCAGGGCACAATGGAGGCTGGGGAGTGGGGGCGCCACCCCTTTCTCGCTCCACCTTCACTCCTGCCCACTCCCTCGGACTTGGTTCCAGCAGGGACAAGCAGAATTTAGGGAAGAGGTGAAGGGTGTGTGTGTGTGTGTGTGTGTGTGTGTGTGTGTGTTGCCACCGCCCCCAGTAAGGGGCACCCTTTTCCATCCCTGGAGCCTGTAGGGCTGCAGCAGAGAGAAGCCATGGATTAGCAACGAGGGGTTAGGCTGTGTGACCTTGGGGCATCATTGCCCCTTTCAGGGCTTCAGTGTTCTGCACAGGAGGGTGGAGCAGATGCCCCCTGGGAACCTTTCCTGCTCCACAGTCGAGGGTCCCTATGATTCCCCCCACCCCAAAGCCCGGTCCCAGGACCTTTGTAGACCACTCACCAGGCGCCAGGGCGCTGGGAGTGTGGGTGCGCTCTGCTTGGGTGGCTGCGGGACAGGCGTCCTCCGGGGCCCCGAGGGCTACCGGGATGGTGTTGGGCTCAGGGTGGTAATCCACTTCCTGGCCCTCGGGGCCATTGACCCCCTGCATGGACACAGGCATGGGCGCTCAAAGGCTGCGGTGACAGGCCACAGCAGGGCCGCCTGGCCCCTTCCTTCTCCCCCAAGCCCCATCTCCCAGGCCCTACCTACCTTGGCTCTGGCAGCAGCAGGCTCCGCGGTTAGCGCCGCCTTTCCCTTGGCGCTTCCAGCCAGGAGCTGTGAGAGCGAATTCATTACTGGGAGGATCAGGGAGCAAGGGGCCAGAGACCTCCCCACCCAGAAAGAGGAGAGTAACCTTAGCGAGCACTTGGGAGATTTGGGGAGAGTGAGTTAATACTGAGTTAATAACTACTGGGCCAGAGGCCAAATCTGAGCTGCTTCTGTAAACTTGGCTCTGGGCAAGAAAGCCTGGCTTCCTTCTCTAGAAAACGGGGATGGGTGCTCACATCTCCCGCATGGGCTCCACGAACAGGAGGGAGATGTCGTGATCACCATCCCCGTTGAACAGTGATAAGCAAAGTGCTAGCCCCCAGGCCTGTGCCTGCCTCTGTTAGCCTCCAGTTCAGCCCAGGAATGGTGGCCTTGTGGATTATGCACTGGCCTGTTCACTGCAAGGTTAGCAGTTTGAAACCACCAATTACCTGCTCTGAGAGGAAAAAATGAGACTGTCTACCGCCGCAAAAGGTGACAGGCTTAGAAACCGATAGGGGCAGTTCTACTCTGTCCTTATAGGGCCACCACGAGTCAAAATTGATTGGCTTGGGGAATATCAGGTAGCTTCAAAGAGTTCTGGGAAATTTGCATCATCTTTTAATTCCATTTCCCCTCTTGGTGGGTCGTGGTCAAAGCTCCCTGCCTGAGTCTTTCTTGCCTCATTCTCCACCTACAGACTGTCCGTTGGCCTTTTCCCTTCTGCGCGGGGGCAGGAAAGAAAAGGGCATTGCGTGTTCCCTGCCTTACTTAGCCCAAGTCTCACCTAAACCCTGCCCACTGTAAATTCAGCCCAAAGCATGAGATGGTTGTTCAGTTTCTGCAGGAGCCAGCACCCCTTCTCTGCCTGCTCTTCCACCCAGTCTACAATATATCTCCTATCTGGGCAAAGATGCCCACAGTGAACACCCCTCTAGGGCCCACAGCAAGGCTGGGGCTGCATCTGATAAGAACCTCACCGCTGGTCCTCAGCCGAGCTCTGTGGCTTTAGGCTGCCCGCTGCCCCTGTCTGGCCATCGTTTCCTCGGGAGCATAGGGGTCCACTCACCACCCGCTGGCTGGCTGCCAGTTCAAAGGTGAACCTCTGCACGCGGCGCTGCCTCTTCAGGAAGAGCAGGGAGCCCCGGTTGTTGCGCAGAGATAGCTCCTCCAACATCAGGTCCTGGGGCACGCTCAGCTTCTTGCCCAGGTTCAGGGAAGGGGCTGCCGGAGAGGCCAGGGTGGGCTCAGCCCTCCAGCCTGGAGGCACTTCCATCCACACGCAGCCTCTGAGGCACTGCCTCATAGCACTGCCCTGCTCCCCCCACACTTGCCCACACGGGGTGTCAGCATTGTGGGGGGCCTTTGTCCCCTTGCTAGGTGGAAAAAGACACCTCCACATTTAGGAGTTTTGCGTGTGTCCCTGCTCAGTGAAGGAGAGCACTGTGGTGTGCATCCCATGCATTTCCTGGGTGGATCTTTGCCCACCCTAGCACCGGGTGGGAGAAGAGGGCAGATGCTCAAAAACCAGCACACAGACTCACTGCCATCGAGTCAGTGCTGACTCATAACGACCCTATAGAACAGAGCAGACCTGCCCCTGTGGGTTTCCGAGACTGTAACTCTTTAGAAAGCCGCATCTTTCTCCTATGGAACCGCTAGTGGTTTCAAATTGCTGACCTTGCAGCTAGCAGCCCAATTCAAACCCACCACATGGATAAGGGGCATGACAGAGAGAGAGAGAGTTCATGAATTGCTGCAATGTCTTTGGCCTGAGTTTCTGGAAGGATGAGGCAGCCACTCACTGGGATAAGAGAGACTTGGGAGGGGCTGGCAGAGAGAGAATGTTTGGAGAAAGATCTGGAGTTCCATTTAAAAATCACCCTTTATCTTCATTTTTTAAAAAACAAAAGAAAAGAAAAAGCATATGTGTACAGTGAAGAAAGAAGAGACGGTTTTTAAAGTACTATTAAAGCACGATTGTCTGTTACCCAGAGAGTACCATTTTATACCATCTTATATAGCCTTTTGTATAGTTTAAAATGACTAAGCACTCATATAAGCAGCCCTAGTGGCTCTGTATATTAGGCTTTGGGCTGCACCAGCCTCCCTGCAGGAGACAGGTGACGCTGCCTGCTCCCTTAAAGCTTTACAGCCTTGGGCATGCCATCCAGTGTCCCCGAGTCAGAACTGACTCGACGGCATCCGGTTTGGGTTTGGGATGTATAGTGTCCAAAACCGATGATCTAGAATCCATGTCCAAAATCTAGAATCTAGGAGATTCTAGCTGAGATTAAATCATCGTGGAGATAGTTTGTAACCTGCTTTTCCCACTCTGCCAAGTGAACACGCTTTTGTTTTGTCTAATGCTCAGTCCATATTCAAACTCCCCTGTTGCCAAAATCAGGCACTGCAAGTCTGAGAAGCCTGTGGACATCTGAGCAGAGGCTGAGGAGGGAGTGGGGTACATGCATCTGGTGTTTACGGCAGAGAGCAGACCTGTAGACAAAACTGTGGGCGTCCCCAGGGTATAGGTGGAATTTTAAGGACCACCTAGCTGAGATCACCAAGGGAGGGAGAGCAGAGAGAAGAAATCCCAAGACCAGGGCCCACGACCACCAACATTCAGACCACACGATCAGGGGGCCAACCCAGGATCTGGGAAGGCACGTTCCGTGAGGCAGGAAGGAACCAAGAATGTCCAGGACACCACATGGGGAAAGTGCTTCTGGGCCAACAGAGTGGGCAGTCTTGCCAAGTGCTGCTGATATGCTGAGGAAGGTGACGGCTGGGCGCTGATTGTCAGTCACAGTTAGCAACCGTGGGCCACTGGTAATCTTCACAGGAGCCATTTCTACGGAATAGTTGGGTGTGAACGCCTCATTAGAATCTGTTTAGAAGAAAATGAACCGAGGAACAAGTCTAACCAATCTAGCCCAATCTAGCAGGTGGCATGTTCTACAGGGCAACTGGCCTGGCTTCTACAACAAGTTACTGCAAAGATGGGTGGGGGGTAGGGATGGTGTTCAATTAAAGGAGACTGTGGTTCTGAATGGAAACCAACCACAAAATGACACTGTGTAAGAAATGGGAGGAAATGCAATACGGAATTGGCTTTCTGACGGTATTAAATGATTGTCCGTTTTGTCCAATGGGCTGATGACCTTGTCCGTCATGGAAAGACATGTCCTGCATTTTCCCTCCAAGATTAAAAAAAAAGTAGTAAAATATTGATGGCATCCTTGGGTGCTGCAAGTGGTTCACAAGCTCAGCTGCTGGCTGGTAGGCTGGAGGTCTCAGGCCAGGCACAGGCAGGTCGGAAGAAAGGCCTGGGACCTACTTGTGAAAGCCAGCCATTAAAAGCCAAACGGTACCGAGGGCTCAAATAGAAAGTAAATGTTTAGAAAATGGCGATGGCAACATATGTACACATATGCTCGATACAATGGATGTAAGGATAAAATGATTAAAAATAAAAACACCATTTGGAAGGTGTGATCAGTTCTTTTAAATGGTGAATGCAAAAATGAAGATATATGTGCAACCCCATGTATTCACAGTTGTTTTTAAAAAGGATAAGAATAAAGTCCAATGACACACAGTTCTACTCTAACAGGTGCGGAGCCTCCACCAATGTGAATCCACGCCGCCCCAACGGGTCAGAACAAATACGGATGGACTTCAGATAGGATTCGGCATTCCTTGCATTTTAAGTCTGCGGTTCAGTGACAGTTTGTCTTCACAGTGTTGTGCAATCATTGCCACTCTATCTGCCCCAAACCTTGACAGCCCCCAAAACAGAAAGTCTGCATCCAATAAGCGAGAACACCCCAGTGCTCCCTCCTCCCAACTCTTGGACCCCCTCATCGACTCCAGTCTCTGTGCATCGCCTGTGCTGGATGTTTCGGATAAGGGGATCATCCAATGTATGTCCTTCTGCCTCTCAGTTCTCTCTTACCATGCGCTCATCTGGTTTTTCATACTTTGAGAAGTATCTTTGGAATGTGCTCCAGAGCAATCCCAGGACAAGCGGGGACGGACTGGGGATACGTACTTCTACTTTTGTGTTTGTTTGGATATGGTCCTGATGAAAGGTTAACGAGAGAGAGAGGATGGAAATGAGGCACAGACAATGGCAGAGAGGACTTGTGCTCTGAGGGTCATGGCTGGAGGCCACTGTGGGGTCAAGATGACTTGGTTTGGTTTCCCGGGGGGATGACGGCACGTTTGTAAGTTGGTGGGAGGGGAGGCTTGCTGAAGGGAGGGCCTTGCGCAGGAGCGAGGGGACGGGTGGGCCAGGGTACAGTTAGGAGGTGGGCTGCAGACCAGAGGGACAGCAGAGGGCACAGACACCAGTGCAAGCTTGCGGGCAGATGTGGGGCCGGGAGTTTGCACCAGTTGTCCCCTGAGAGCTTCGTCTTTCTCGGGGCAATGAGAAGCCAGGTCCTTAGCTGAGAATGAAGGCTGGGGTGGTGGTGGGGGATATTGGAGTTTGGGGAGAGAGGTGAAGGGCTGACAAAGTCCACTGGGAGAGTAGTATGGGGAGCGAGTGGCGAGGAGGTGGGGCAGCACTGAGGGCTCACTCAGGAGCTGGGCTTGCTTCTATATAATACAGCACTAAGCAGCCTTTTATAGAGGAGCAGGCGGTTTCCACTCTTCCACCACGTATGTACAGCGCGTCTACGTGCTAGTCATAGAAGGAAATTCACTGTAGGTTAAGTAAGAGGAAAATTAGACGTTCCTGAAGAATGTGTGTCCTAAGACCCCATTTAGATACTTGAGAAACAACTGCTTGTTTGTGGACGCAAGCAGACACGCCAACGGTGAGCAGTGACTACGCATTCCCTGAGTGATGCGGACGGTCAGCTACTGAGCTAAAGGTTGGCACCGAGGAAGAAAGGCCTGCCCACCTGCTTTCCCAAAGGCCATGGTCAGGAAACTGTGGAGCAGTTCCATTCTGTAACTCCCGGGGCCGCCGCGAATATTGGAATGGACCCCACAGCAAAGGTCTAGCTACGGGAAGAAGGCGGGCCGGAAATGCCTTTCTCTCTTTGACTTAAAAAGATGAAAGACTGTTTATACCTACATGCACTGCAAAAGGCCCACTTGAATCATATTCTTAAATCCTATCCAGATGAACTGAGCAATGGATAAAGCATGTTTGAATAAGCAATTCCTTTTCTAGGGGTTCGTTCTCGGGGAAATAAACATTCCCAAATGTATTTGAAAAGTGAAATAAACATGTCCAAATATATAAACGATGTGTATATATCAGTAAGTAGATAGACGTACTTATTAAACCCGCTGCCATAAACAGCCATGTGTATGCAGAAGACATAAGTTCATGGATGTTTATGGCAGTGGGTTTAAAGAAAGTCGTGGTCTGCTCATAGTGGATACTGCTGCCCAGGTGTCTTGGAGCCGCACCTAACAGTTCACAGAGGCCACCTTCTGCAGAGGCTCACCCAGTAGGAAGGATGCTTGCCTGGCCCCTTTGCCTCAGGTGGGATGAATTCTTGGGCACAATTCATGCTCCAGGGTCTCCCTTGAGGTCAGACTGAACCTGGACCACATCCTCGCTTAAGCAATGTCCTGCATCCTGGGAGCATGTCCTCAACAAGTCACATGACCAGAATCCACCGCCTCCACAGAGCATCCCAACCTCAGGCAAGCCTCCGCTCCTTGACCACCATTAGGCTGAGTAAGCTTACTATGCGATGTCCCAACCACAGCCCGATGGGAGGGTGGGGAGGGGAGGCCGAGAGAGCAGTCATCTGAGGATGGAAAGAAGTTTGTGGTATGCGGCTAAGAGAAAACCAACAAGACCCGTGTGACATGAAGGCCGCGGAGAACAGATGCGTCCGAGACTGTGGCTCAGAGACTCAGTGGAACAGAGCCGAGGCTATGGTGCCTCCTTGGCCGGAGTCCAAGAGACTGTTGGACAGAGCAACAGGCTGGCTTCCGAGAGGCTGAGAACCAGAGAGAGACGTGGTTGCTGGTTGAGGAGAGGCGCTGCTGTGGACCAGTGACTGGAGCCTTACTGTTTACTGCTCCTGACTTGTGGAAACCCATCACCTTCCATAATAGACTCATAATCGTGACGATTGTCTGTTGAGTTCCGTGTGGCCATCGCAACAATTTGTTGACCGCAGCACAGATGGAGAGTGCCGTGGGCGGGACAGTTAGGGTCAGAGTAGGTAAGGAAGGGTGGAGGGTGGAGGCATGTGTGACCCCTGCCTCCTGGCCCCAGGGAAGCCAGAGGAGGTCTGCGCTGCCCTCCTCCATTGCTGTTTATTGCAGAGACCAGGAGGGCTAGAGCAACATCTCACCTCAGCCACCTACCAGGTAGATGGCCACCCAGCCCCTGAGAGCCTCCGCTTCCGAATGGCAATGAGAACAATGTTGAACTGACAGGGCTGCTGCGTGGTCAGATGTCACCAGGCCTAAGAGGTCTTAGCATGTATCTGGTAACAATGCACTAAAGATGCTCTTGTTTCAATACTTCACAAAACACAATGGCTGTGGTCTCATGGTGAGACCATGAGATTTCTCTGCTCTTTCTCCATTCTACTTTAGTTTCAACATTGTCTTCAGTGAGCACTCTAGCAATAATGAACAAGTGATACACTTCAAGTCAGGTGTACCTGATGTAGGCCAATATTCAGGGACAACTGGTTGGGGTGTTTGGTTCTCGTCAATATTTTAGGTTCCGGAATTATTTGGAAACCTGGTGGTGTGATGGTTAAAGCACGCAGCTTCAACTGTGAGGTCCGTGGTTCGAACCTACCTTGGGAGAAAGGTGAGGCTGTCTGCATCTGTAAAGATTTGCCACCTTGTCAACCCCGTGGAGCAGTTCTCAGCCCTGCAGGGTCCCTATGTGCCCCGATTGAGCGGATGGCAGTGGGGTTCGTTTGGCTTTTGTCATTAATTATTTACTAATTATTATTTAATGAATAATTAATTATTGAGAACAGCGGTCGGAGCCTGCCTCTTCCAGCTCAGTACCTCACCGAGAACCCTGGTGCCCACCAGAGCGGGCAAGGGAAAAAACACAAAAGAAGTTAAAACAACGATGCTGTACAATGTCTTAGCTACATCTTAGAGCTCTGGGGGAATCTGAACACTGGGCTCACCGTCCCCCTGCATCAGAACCATCTGGGCCGATGTGGGAGCCCTGTCCCAGGCACTGAGTCAGGCTCCCTGGGGGTGGGTGCCAGGAACCTGTGTTCTTAGGCAATGTTAGCGGTCACTGTGGTTCACAGTAAAGCTCGAGGACACTGACCGGGTTGAATTCATTTTTTTAAGTTGGGATTTAATGCATCTAACCTATCATTCCCTATTTCAATCACATCAAGTAAAGTCGTACACTTCCTACCAGAATCCGTTTTCCACCGTTCTTTTTCTGCATCACCGCTGTGCTCTCCCCCCACACCCTGATTCTACTCGCTGTCCCTGGACGGTCAGCCATCCTGGCTTTCACACGCTGAAAAGCGGAAAAGCACATAACACAGCTTCAAGAGGGCGGCCTCCATGGACATAACACCGCTGAGCTTGAATTAATTTTTAAAATACTTGAAATGCCCTAAAGGCCAAATGAACAAATTGCGAAATTAAGGAAGAGGCCTTGTGACACCGAGACACACAAATCTGAAGAAGCTTTGTTCAGGTGAAATTGTTGGAGTTGAGTTGGGGAACCTGCTCTGCCCACTCTTCCAGCCTTGTCTCTAGCCCGGAGGCTGGGCTGCGTGCAGCCTTCCTGCAGACCTTGGGGCAAGGTTGGCTATGAGGAAACAAGCAAAGTAAAACCCCCCACCCGTGGCTGTTGGCTCAGTTCCAACAGAGGCCCTGTGTGTTACACAGCAAAACCGCTCCACTGGGTCTCATGGACTGGAATCTTTATGGAAGCGGATCACCAGGGCTTCCTTCCTCTGCTTCAAGGGATGGGTTTGACCTCCAGCCTTTAGGTTAGGAGTAGAGTACAAACAGAGTGCGCCACAGGGAGGGCTTGTATTGAGAGCCCTCGGAGCTGCATCTGGCACAGAGGTCAAGAATTGTCCATGGCCGTGGGGCTAGGGCCAATGTTCTCTCTGGAGCATGGGACTCTAATTCTCGCCTCTCTCAATGCCCCAGGTGCTCCCTGGGACCAGCCTACATCTTGCTCAGCTCTGCCGGGGCTGGGACACAGAGAAAGGAGTCCTGCTAGCGCAGTAGGTTAAGTGTACGGCTGCTCACGGCAAGACCAGCGTTACAAACCCACCAGCCTCTCCAGGGGAGAAAGATATAGGTCCACCACGTCAGAAACCTTGCATGAGGAGCTGTGAGTCAGACTGCAGTCGACGGCAGTGGGTTTGGGAACCCACCAGGGAGGGGGGTCTAAGGAAGCTCAGCCTGGGCCACTTACCTGGTCCGTCGAGGTCGCCCCTGGCGCCCATCATAGGGTCCTTCTGCTCCTGGGGGATCATCCTGTGGAGAAGAAACCAGGCTGCAGCCATCCTCTCCAGTCCTCCCTCCCTCCCTCCCGAGCCTCCTCCAGGGCCCACCCCACAGAGGAGGTCCTCCCTGTGCAGGACGAGGCTGAGGCCCAGGAAGGGTACACATGCCTCTCCCCTGTGGCCAGGGGAGCATTTCTTCCCACGGCTTCTTCTCTTGACCAGGAGAGCTGGGGAAGGAGGTATTGGGCGGGAGGAGAGGGCTAGGCTCAGCTGTAGACCTAGCCAATCTCTAACCAGAGGATGAAACGGGTGGGAGAGGTCTAGGTCAGGGGCCAGAGGGCGTTTGGGCTCAGGGAGTGATGTAGCCAGGATGCTCCCCCCCCCCACTCAGCCCCAAGGAGACTCAAGGGCATAGGTAGCTCACTAAAGCCTTGGGACCATCACTCCACCTCCCAGTCTGCCACATCCCTGGGCCGGCCCCCTTGGCACCCTCCTCTCCCTTACCGCTTGTTCCTTCTCCGTCCCTCCGCTTGCATCCCCTGGCTCTTTCTGGGAATTATAGATTTATAAATCAGGTGAGGTGCAGAAACCTGTGAGGACTAAATCCAGCTTCCCTAACTTGCCTCCCAGAGAGAAGGCGTGAAGGCCGAGAGGACATGAGCTCCCCAAATGGCCGCCCACTCCTGTGCCTGGTACTCTGCTTCCAGGCATTTCCGAGCTGTAGTAGTTACCTGTTGGGCTACGATCTCCAGTGTCAGCGCCTGGAAACCATTCCCTGTTCTGTGACAGAAAGATGGAGCTTGCTTTCTAACCTGTAAACAGTCCAGGCTTGGAAACAGGGGGCAGTTCTACCCTGTGCCATGGGGTGGCTGGGAGTCAGTAGTCGCTTGATGGGAGTGAGCGTGGTTTGGGGTTTGCACTTATAAAAGCTGCCTGGCTCCATCTGGACCCCTCCACCCCAGGCCCTGACCCGGCTCGGGGACCCTGGCTGCCTCAACAGCTTGCTTTCCTGCTCTATACCTTGGGGCCCAGTCTGTAACACAGCAGGGTGGACTAGAGGATGGGGCAACCCTATGGACCCCGAAGCTGGATGCAAACAGCCTACAGCAAAGACATGTGTCAGCGCGGATTTGGGTGAGGGTCATGAGGGGATCGAGACTGCCCCCATTGTGACCACAAAGGGTCCCCTGTGCACAGACACTTCCTGACAGACACTCCTGACAGAAATCCACAGACCCCAGGAGGAGTGACAGGGAAGCTACTCCCCTGCATTGCCTAAAACTGCTGACACCCCACGCAGAGCTGTTACCTGCTCCACCTCTAATCCTGGGCACCCCTCCATCTTCCAGACCAGCCTAGGGCTCATAACCCCTCTCCTCCTATCCCAAGGTGCAGGCTTCCTGCTGTCCACATGCCTCTGACCCTCTGCCTGCAAGAGAGGGGCCTGGGAATTGGGCCACCTACCCCTGCCCATTCCCCAGCTCCCCCGGCATCCCCGTACCTGAGAGTGGGCAAGTGGAGGGTCAGGCTCACGGTCAATCCGTCTGTCTAGAGCTGAGAGTGCGGGGTCAGCAGTGGGTGGTCATCGAGCAGTGTGTGCCCTGTAGCCAGCTCTGGGCTCAGCTGACGAGACTCGTCCCTGCCCTGTCGTGGGTCACAGCCTTATTTCGGGCTGCAACAGGAGCCGGGGACAGATGCTAAAAGCACTAGGCCCCAGGGAAGACAGGTGCCCCGGCAGCAGTCCCTTGCAGACGGAAGGGCTTTCGTATGTGTGTTCACACACACACTAACACACTTACATGCACACCCCCAGTCACTTGGAAGTGCTAAGAGCCCCGTTAGTTGCCAGTCATTCAGCTTAACTGTTGTAACCTCAGTGCCTAGAACCATACCAGGAATGAGCTCGGTAGATACCCGTTGCATGAACGAATGAAACATTCCTAATATCTTTGCTTGACTTATTCTTTCCTTCTTTCGTGCCCCCCCCCCTTCTTTCCCTCTCGTTCCCGTCCTTCCCGCACCTTCTCGCGTTCCTGAGCCTCTCTCTACGGCTGAAAACAAACAAGGCAGAGCTGCGTCCTCAAGAAGCCCAGCCAGGCCCAGGAGTCACGCCGTAAACAAGCGGCGAGAGGCATGATGGGAAGGTGTCACTTGCTCAGCTCAGCCTGAGCTCCGAGGGGAGGGGGTGGGAGCAGTGGGGGCAGGCTTTCCAAAAGAAGCGAACTTTGGGTCAGGCCTTGGAGGATAACTGGGCACTCACTGGGCACAGGAGGAGAAAGACATCGCAAAGAAGGACATGTCATGTCTAAAGAAGTTAGACTCAAAAACCAAACTCCCTGCCATGGAGGTGATGCTGGGGGCAGGGTAGAGCTGCTGGTTGGGTCCCTGCTGCTGGGAGCAGAAGGCCTTACAGATCTGCAGCAGCGGTGGAGCTGGAGTGTGGAAGAGTGGAGAGAAGGAGGCCAGGCAGCTGGGCAGCGACCGGGTTTTCCAATGAGGTGCTTTGGAAGCATTGTGTAAAGGAGTAGAGTGGCCAGGTCCGGATAGCTCTGAGTGTCAGTGTCAAAGGACATGGGTGAGGAAGGTGCCCTGGGGGAGCAATAGTCACATGCAAGCCCAAAGGGCTAGTGGTTCAAAGCCACTTGGCAGGTGTGTGGAAGAAAGCCCTGGTGAGCTGCCCCTCGGGGCCGGGGGACAGTGCTCCTTTGCCAGATGGGATCACCATGACTCCTCAAGTAAGAGGTGTGGCTGAACTCACTAGGGTCGTAGTGGGGTGGAGGGGGAAGGGTTCGTGGGCTCTCTGGAGAGCCACTGGGCCTCGGGGAGTTTGACCTGAGAGGGGAGAAAGGAAGGAGCTCTTGGCTGTGGGTGACCGAGGAAGGGAAGGAGGGGAGGAGCTGCTTGGGGCCGGGAAAGTCCCAGAGTTCAGTTGGGGCTGGACATGGGCACAGGCTAGCCAGCAGGCAGTAGGGTACCACAGTCGGGGGTGGGATTCCTGGTGAAGAGAAAGGTTGGTCCCAGGGAAGGGTGCAGTCAGCAAGGGCGCCCTGGGCTTCTATGGTGTGTGGGTGTATGTCAGACACCCTCTTGGGCGGAAGGCTAGCCTCTGCTGCCGTGGCCTGGCCCTCAGGGTTCTGCTGGGCCTGGGTTTCTAGAGAGGAAGGGTGAGGGACAGTCCCAGGGAAGGCTGGGCCTTACCTCAGATTGGGACCCTGATCTCAGGGGAAGAGGAGCAGGTGTGGTGGTCTGGGTCCTAGCTCATGAGGGCTGCTTTGGCTTGGACGTGACCTCTCGTAATGGCTTCCTCAGGCTGCCCAGAGCACCATCCTGCCCTGAGGAAGCAGCCCAGAGCCCTGGGTCCAGTTCCAGCTCAGCCTCTCTGCTCCAGTGATCAGCCCTGTGGCCAAGGCCTGGACAGCACTGCCCTGAGATAACACCTCACCCAACTCCCTCATCGCACTCATAGGGAAGCTGAAGGGGGGAGGAGGGGCCTTACCCAGGGACATCCTGCTGGTCAACCACAGGACCAAGACTTGAACCTGTGACCTCTCTTAAGCTCTTCTATTCATTCCCACCCCTCCTCCTCACGTTGCCATCCCATGGGTCTTAAACATGGTCACTCACTCAGAGCCCCCCTGCACTCTGGTATGGGTGGGAGTAAAGGGCCCCAGATAGATTTGAAAACAACACGGAGGCAGAGGGATGCAGGAAGCATTTATTGAGAGCTGGAGCAGAATTCTACAGGAGGCGGGAAGCGGGTAAGCACTGGGGGCGGGGTGTGGGGGTAGCGTTGTGAGTCAGGGAGATGAAGGCAGTGTGGCCCTCACAGCACAACCAGAGAACGGCACCTTCTCAAGGCTGCCTCCTGCTGGCTCTTTGGGGGAAATGCAGGTAGACGTGGATCCTTTAGGCCACTGTGCCAGCCAGAGATCAGAAGTGTCTCTTCCCCAGAGAGCCTCCCAGCCCTAGCCTCCCCCACGGATGGGGGCTGCAGCAAACATGGCCGCGTATCCTGGACCTGGAGGCAGCAGCACCTTCTCCCCTCCTCCCAACATGGCCTGTGCCCCACATCCTCAGGAACCTCTTTATTCCAAAACGCTCCACTCCCACCTGGACTCTGCCATTCTGACCTCTGCTGTCCCCAGCCTTACTTAGGGGTCCCGTCGGAGGGGAGGGGAGGCCACTGCTACCCCAAATCACATTCTGTCCCTTACGTTAGCAACAGCCCGTCATCCTTCAAACGGACTTACCTTTGACCGTTAGCCAACCCAGAGGGTCCTGAAGCTAACAGTCTGAATCTCTAGAGGGCACTACCAGCCAACTCAAGACCAACACAACTCACCACCGCCAAGGGTCCCCAAGGCTTCAAGGACTGCCAGAGCCTGTGGCCAGTCTCCCCACGGGCGGGCACGGGGCACCAGACACATGCTGGACAGAGACTTGTGGAAAAGCAGTAAGGCAGGGTAGTGTCTACTCATCTGGGCACAATGTGGACCCAGGAGCTGGGGCCTGGAATTAAAGAGTGGAGTGCTTCCCCCTGAGTTCAAATCCAGTCAAGCCCCTCGCCCCCAACCCCCTTCCCTTCCTAGCACTGTGGGGTGCATTTTGGAATTTCCTCAGAGTTTAATCCCATCCCCTGCTGGAATCCCTTCTCTTGCATCCTAGCTAGCCTCTGCTTCTATTCCTGCATTAACAAGGAGCTACTTGTTTCCAAATGGACAACCCCAAACTCAAGGGCCAAGTAAAGCCACGTGGAAGCTCCTGGTCTATCTTGCTTTCTCTCCCCTGGCTCAGCTTTGAGCCTAGAACTTGCTAACAGACAGAAAGCCCAACCCCTGGGCCTGAGGGGAGCCACAGCCCCACTACCTTCCTCCGGGGGCAGGTAAGATGCCCTGGACAGAGGGCCCCAGTGGAGGGGAAGGCGGCATCAGCAGAGGCTGGGGAAGTGTTCCCATCTCCTCTCTCCAGAGGGTCAGCGGGCACCTTGAGCTGGCCCCGGAGGCCTTTCTAAAGGTCACCGCAGTAAAAAT